TAACCCCTTTTTTGCGACTTTCTGAAAATTCTCAATGGCAACACTGGCTTCAGGGTATGTACATACGGTGGCGGTCATAACAATAGCACCCCATTTCAAAGTGATATTGTTTTCTACTTATGATTGCATATTAATTTAGTTTTTAGAATTTTTAATTAAAACACAGTTCATTCTCTGACAAAACCCATATAAAGAAAAGTTTTAAACTGTATAGAAAACTAGAAAACAAAAACAAATCCCATTTAAAAAAATCCCAGTTAAAAATTCGAAAATAATTGAAAAACAAATATATTTTTCAAATATCACTTCGATATTGTATGTGGAATAGGTTAGTAGGCGAATGGCAAAACGAAACCTTCGTTATCCAATGTATTTTCCCTTCGTTATGAATTCGAAATCTAGCCTATTATCGAATTGAAACTTTAATGAGACAGAGTGATTGACATATATTTCCCTATTACTGCTGCTTGCTATGAACGTCGGAAAACTAAAAGCCTGATTATGGCAACTTAACTTAACTTAACGGAACGTAGAACTTAGAGAATCTAAATGAAACAGATTCGACGTGGCATTATGTTACGCTAAGTTTCAGCTGTTCAATTATAAGCAACATCCATTTAAGAGAATGCTGAAGTGAGAGCCTGTAAGTTACGTTAAGTTGCCATAATGAGACCATAAGTTTCATTAAGAGTTCGTACTCAGTTCGATATGCATGTTGGATATCGAAAGTATTTAATTTTTGAACGTTCGCCACAATGTTTTTTTGGGATTTTCATCCAAATTTCAAACTTTTTTCTCAGAATTGTTAGAATTTTTTGAGTATGAAGTTTTAAAGCCCCATTTAATTTTAGTGTAATAAAGTGCAAGTTTCAAGTGGCTAAAAATTACCGTGTTTGTTCGTTATATGGTAGCAGATGCGACAAAAAAAGGTGTACCTTACTAAAAGCCGTTTTCCGAAGTAACCGTTACCTTTAAAGCTCACTTTATATTTAAAGGTTGAATTAAAAATAAAGCTATGTCTAAAGTTGAGCATTTCTATTATCATATTATTATAATCAAATACTTTACTTTAGACACAATCATAAATTTTAATGCAACCTTTAAATATAAAGCGAGCTTTAAAGTTACAGCTTACTTGAGAAAACGGCCCTAAGAAACAACAAACATTGACACAAGTATAGGGTGATGCACATATTTTGACATCAATAATTTGTGATATATCAATATTTTTTGTTGTTTCGTTTTCATACAATTGGTACTACAGCCTTTGGCAAACTTAGTCATAGAGCGATACTCAGTTGAACAACGCGTTAAAGTTATGAGGGGCATTTTCACTTAAACGGATATGTTAACAAGCACAACTGTCTTAAAGTCCACGAGTCATTGTTTTGTGTAGTTTTTGAGCTGGCGGAATCATCGAGCTGTACCTCTTTGAAAATGGTACCGGTAGCGCTGTTACGGTGAACGTTCTCGTGATATGAAGACAATTTTTTTAGGGCCTGAATTAGATGATATGGACTTGGACAATATGTGGTTTCAACTGGACGGTGCCACTTGCCGCAATGCTAATGAAACTTTTGGCCCTATTGCGAACGAAGTTCCCCCGAACGCATTACCTCTCGAAACAATGAGGCCGCCAAGATCTTGCGAATTAACACCATTAGACTTGTTTCTCAGAGGCTATGTGAAAAGAGTGGTCTGTGCCAATAAGCCCGAGATGACTTCAGAGCTGTAGAACCAAATCGTACGCGTAAATACTGTATAGTCCGAACTATGCCGAAATGTCGAGGAAAATTTTGATGTGCCGTGGTTTGAAGTTAGAATGACACATATCGTCAAAAGCGTGAATATCGGTGCCCTATAAGATATGTATGCATATCTCCAATGCGACTGATAAGTTTTTTCGATATTACTCTTTCCGTAGGCACTCAGAACCATGGCAGCCCTCCTATAATCTTTTCGAGTCCCGCATCTTACAAAAAAAAAAAAACTTCTTTCGTATGAATCAACCTTAGTATACATAGGTACATACATAAATATGAGTTGCAAAAAAAAGCAAAAAAATGTATTCGACTTTTAATACTTACTTCCATAGAATGCGCCAGAAACAGCCAAAACTGCTGCCATTTGGCACTTCACCAGCATATGAGACTGTCATATTTCGTCGTTTATAAAATACTCTACAGGATAACTACAGCGAACGTTGAAGGAGAAAAGCTGCAGCGACAAAGGAACAAACGTAAGTGATTTTAGGATTTATGTGAATACTTTGCATTTATCGATATTAAACGATGATAAGCTGTTGAAAGCACAGTTGGCGCAACGCAGCAGTAAGAATGTTAAGACAGCAGCAATAAGCGACCAGTGTGCCCGCTTTTGAATTTTTGTTGACTATTTTACTAGTTGCAGCTACCTGCTACCAACCGTGTACCCCTGGCAGTCGGCGCTGTTAACACGAAAGAGTGGCAAGCGAGCGTCAAAATCACCATCACCACCGTCGTCATCGCGCGCATCAATGCACCGAGTAGTTGAATTGCACCGAATAGTTGAATTGCACCGACACGTGACATCGACCAAGCGCAATATAATATGTATAGTAAGCAACGCTCAAACGAATGCAACACCGCAACACTGACTTTATAAATATATATATATATATTTTTTTTTTATTATTGAAAAACAAATTTTCTACGTTTGTCTCGTACGCGAGGCGAGTACTGATCGACGACGCTTGGCTTACTGACGCCTCATTATCGAAATTCCGACACGTCTGCGCTGCGGGTCTTTTGGTTATTTAATTGTATTTTATTTACATATTTATTTCTGTTTTTGTTTTACGTACATATGTAGTATATATGCATTATTTATTGCTTGCATGGGGCTTAAAAAACTACTGGTTGCTTTAGCTTTAGGCCTTTCTACTTTTTATTATATACAAACGTTTTTACTACCTTTTATTTTGGCGTTTTTGGCATAATTTGTGTTGTTTATTTTCTAATCACTTGTTATTGTCGATCAGCTG